GAGCCCAGGAGTTGGAGGTTGCTGTGAGCTGTGATGCCATGGCACTCTACCCAGGGGGATAGCTTGAGGCTCCGTCTCAAAAAAAAAAAAAATCAGGCTACTATAGGTCTAGAGTAAACCAACTGGTTCTCTTGATGACTCTGAGATACTGCAAGTTTCTCTACTATCAACTAAGTCACCCATAAGTTTCATTTATGCCTGTGTTCACCACTGTTTTGATGTTACGTGCATTTTCTTATACTATGCTAGTTTTATAAATATTCATGGTTCATCTTGGTGATGCACGCAGATTCTTAACCACTTACCAGATTAACTGGTAGACAGTAAATAGTAGAGGGTATAGAAAATCCAGGAAAAGGCAAAATGAACCTGACACTAAAAGCTAATACTTTTCCAATGAAGGGAGTAAAAAGTGAGCTAAATTGTAGAGGATTTTCCTGACCCAGAATTTTGGGAATACTAGGTTTTATTTGGGTTGGGAACTGTGAAACCTTTCAAACTGTAATTTTTCCACACATCTGTAAACTTAAATTGTGTGTTATGTATACATGTGTGCGAGGATTCAAAGTTTTCATAAGATTTTCAAAATAGTTCTTGATGTGAACAAGTTAAATACTATTAAACTTGGGAGACTCCTATGGATTTACCTGAGAAAGTATCTTACCCTTTTCTTTATGCTATTGAAGGGTGCTACAATATATTCCGATCGCTTGTGTCTAAAAATAGTCTTTATTTAGGGATACCTTTGAGGTGTCAAAAATGCATGATAGATGCCTTATTAATTTTTAGCTTTTTATTTGAAAATATGAATGTATAGTTAAAATACATTTTAATAACTTGAAACACTTTAAAAAATCAGGCATTCTCTAAGTGTGTAAGAATGTACAAATTATAAGTTAGACAGTATCCTAACAAGGAGGAAGGTAGCCACACACCAACCTACAACTTTTAGTTTTCTATTACAGTATCTAACAGGTAGGAAGTGCTGTGTACACACAGGAAAGGAAGAGATTACTGCCAAGGTGAGAGAGTGGTGAGGGAATCATGGAAGGTGTGTGATAAACTGTACTGTGAAGGACAGGTAGGGTGTAGGTAGATAAATGGTGGGAAGATGTCCCAGGTGAGCTTGCCAAAAGAGGGAGTGGGAACAATGAGTACTTTGATGTACCCACAATCTTGCAAAGTATAGCACTGCTGGAAGACAAAGCTGGATGACAGATGGAAGGCAGCTGGATCATGGGGGGTCTGAATGCCATGCTAAGGGATGTGGACATTATTCTGTAAGCAGAAGGGGTGTTAGGCAAGAGACACTCAGACCCATGCTTTAACTCTGAGCAAGGTGAAGGATGATCTGGAAGAGACTACAGCAGAAAAATCAGTGGGGAGGCTACTTCTGTATTCTCGTCCAGAAGTAACACATTCTCATCCAGGCTGGCGGCAGACAGATAACAGAAATATAGTCATACCTCACTTACCAATGGAATACTTTCTGAGAACTGCGTTTCAGGCGATTCAGTTGCTGTGTGATCACGAAGTATACTTATACAAACCTGGATGGTACAGCCTACTATACACCCAGGCCACACACCTATATAGCATGTACCTCTTTACACTAGCATTGCCAGAGATACATCAGGAACGTGCTGCATTCTGACATTACGATGGCTATAACATCACTAAGGAACAGGAATTTTTCAGTTTCATTATAATCTTATTGTCTGTGCTGATTGAAATGTTATTATGTGTCATATGACAGTACTGAGAGGTGGAGGCCACACGATCTGGCCAAGTACACCAACAGACAGTATAGCAAAATAAGAAATGTAAAGTACTTGGTATATTTTTTACAGAGTAAAGTTACTTAGCAACATACCTGAAAAACAGATAATCGCATGATTTGTCCCACATATAGTCATTGTAGCTTACTATGCAGAAATCACAGGCTACACAACGCAGGTGGTCACATGCTCTGTTCAGAGAAAAAGAACTATATATTAAAAATTATCGGTATGTTTAAATATGAATATACACTGATTTATTCATAGTATACGCCACCAGGGGTGGTCACAGTGGTCCTTCAGATCCCCAGTGCAGCCCCTTGACTGGATCCAAACTCTACAGAACTAATCCCTTTATTAAAAGGAATCTGCTCTGTACAATTTGGATTTGTCAAAGACCACACCTGAGGATCCAGGCCATAGGTGGCCGCACGGTCACAGGTTCTCCACTCCTGATTATAAATGTTTATACTAAAATATGGCTTACATATCTAAACTTTTAGCTTATATTTTTGCACAAACCTGCTATTTTACAAAGATTTTGTATACTGATACATGTATGCATATATATATTAGATATAAAATAAAATGGATTTGTAGATCTTTTAATTTAATGGTTTTCAAAGTATATCTGAGAGAGATCTTAATTTAAGCAAGTACTTTATTTTAACTTTTTTTTGAATCAGAGTTTCTCTCTGTCACCCTGGTTAAAGTTCAGTTTTGTCAACACAGCTCACTGCAACCTCAGACTCCTGGGTTCAAGCCACCCTCCTGCCACAGCCTCTAGAGTAGCTGAGACTTCAGATGCATGCTACATGCCCAGCTAATTTTCTGATTTCTACTAATTTTTAGCAGAGACAGGGTCTCACTCTTGCTTAGCTCTTGAACTTCTGAGCTCAAGCAATCCTCCCACATCAGCCTTCCAGAGTGCTTAGATTACAGGCATGAGCCACTGTGCCAAGCTAAGCTAAGTTTTTAAAGATGTTTCCCTTTCTACTGAAATTTTTAGAGATACCTCTATCAACAAATATGCCATATTACATTGAAATGAATGTCTCTCTTGTAAGCTATTTAATTGCTGGGGTAAGGTAGGATTTGTTTCTGTTTCCTTACTACTTGGAGTAATGGATTCATTCACCCACTTAAAGAATATTTACTGAGATCGTACTATGTGCTGTCTTCATGGAGCTTAGATTCTAGCGCAAGAAGAAATAAACAATACTCATGATAACTAAATGTATAGTATGCAAGATGCTAAATGTGCTTTGAATGAAATAATGAAGGTAAAGAAAACTGTGAGTACTAGAATGAGAAGGGTTCCAATTTTAAATAGAAAGGTCTATATCGACCTCTTTGAGAAGTGTATCTGAGTAGTTTCTTTAAATGGAGTGGTAGCTGGAAAAGAAAGCAGGGCTAAGAGAAGGCTCTTTTTAATAAGAGAACATGTTGTGTATTGGTAGCAAAGATGCAGTGAAAAGCAAAACTCTGACAATGCCGGAGAGAGCGGGCAGAACTGCTAGAGTGATACTTAGCATACGACAGATACTCAATGAGGATTTGAGGGACTGAAATTAGAAGCAATTCTAAAAACACAATTACGTATATATTACATAGCAACTTTAAGGATTAAAATTATATATAGCAAATTTAAAAAGAATTTTGAGTAGCTGCTACCAACAAGTTGGTCTGTATAATAATTTTTATTTACTTTAAAGAAAGCAACTTCCTCTGAGGTGTTCAAAAATGAGAATCAACAAATACATTTGTTCACCTAAAAATTAAAAGGATATAAGAGTTCTTAAGATACCAAAAAAAAAAAAAAAAAAAAAAAGGAGGAAAAAACA